TCGCTCTTAGAATCATGGTGCTTTCTAGCGTATGTGTTTATAAGCAATTAAACTCCAGTTTTAGGGAGACTCGCTAACAGCATACATTATTTTAATAGACATACAGTACTACTTTAAACCGTCTTTGCCATCTGCTCATCATGATTATAAATGCAGAAAAGGACATATTTTACATTAGCATCAGAAACTAGTACGATACCAGGGACTGAAATGCCCATATATGCTCTTTGTACAATGCCGAATGCATCTGTGCTATTTATTTTCCCTTTCTCCCCACAATGCAAATCAGAGACGCAAGATGCTCATTGCTTGTGGACCGTTTCCTGACACGGAAGAGCATTTTCAGAGCAGAAATTCATTAGGAGGGAATTTTGACTTACTCTTCAGCCAAACACACTTTTTTAACGTCTGTGAGCTCCCATGTCTGGCTCTTGCTGGCCCTGGCCAACTGTCTTAGCTCCTAGCTAATGAGGGAGAAAAAACAATACACCCAGGGCAGCAATGGACTGTAATCTTCTTTAACGTCCATCAGAGATGCAACGTCTAGTGTATAATGAGCTAAGTGTTTCTCCTCTATAGATACATTTAAAATACATGGTATTCATATGCATTGGCGGAACACAATATAGAGCAGAGAAGGCATCTGGATGGGCATATGTTCTGTCCTCCATCTGCATCTTTATGGCCATGCGCTCTTTCTAGAAGGACATAACGCCATCGTAATGTTGGAGGAGGCAGGGATGAAACCATTCTGTTTTCTTAGCTGAACTAGTTAAGGCTACAAGCATATGTATGCCCTAAGAAATGGTAGGGCTTTCCTACCATGTGGGATTTTATCTAGAGTCTAGACACACAGATCTCTGAGTCTGAGGCCAGCCTGGTCTAAAGAGCGAGTTCTAGGACAGCCAGGGCTACACAGAGAAACCCTGTCTTGAAACACCAAACCAAACCAAGCCAACGTCCTCCACTCCCCCACACACCACCAAAATGCAGCTGGCAATGCTAGCTGATGTGTTTCAAGAGCTTCTGGAGTTCTGATTTGAACGGAATCCCATGCCCATGTCTCTAGCCTTCTTGCTTCAGCTGGGGAGAAAAGGGCAAATACATCCGAGAAGGTGGATCTGAACCACACTACCAATCATGTAGCTCCCAGCCACAACTGGCTGCTGGACCTTGAACCCAACAGCATAGAGATCAGCTGTAGTTTCATAACTGACTGCAGATTTCAAAGATTTATGAAGGTCGTAACACATTGCAAAATACCTTAGTTGTTAGTCATATTTAACTTGCTTGTGTATGGAAATACTAGTGGATTTTTTAGGTTAGATAAAAATCTATCACTCATACTTTAAACAAGATCAGTTCAACGCAGTTCACGTCCCCTCCCCCTACCGTGGCTACTAGGAAATCCAAATCATAGAAGTGATTTACATTAGACTTCCGTTAGATTGCCCTGGTCTAGAAAGTTGGATGTCTGTGCAATGTTTACATTTTGGTGACATGCTTTTCATGAGCCCTGATCCCTGAGAAGTTTCTACTCTTTAAACAAATTTCTCAAAATGATCAAGTCCCTTATTTCTGGTCTTCAACATGCAAAGTCCAACGGAAGCAGAGGGTTATCTGTTGCAATCTGTTCCGGTATTCAACAATGGCAGTGGAACGTCTGTGTGCCTGGCCCAGCAACGTAATGCATGTGCGTGAGAAATTCCTTCCCTCAAGCAGCCATTACCGACGTGACACAGCTCCTGACCCAAAGGACTTATTTTGGTTCACAGTTCTGGGAGAAACAGTTTTGTCAGGCATGGTGGCCAAACCAGGCTCTGTCTGTGGACAGGAGTTGTGGACAGGAGTGGGGCCAGGGGCCTGCTTGCTCCCATCTTGCATATTAGGGAGCTGAGAGAGCTGAGGCAGAAGCCCCAGACCTTATTACCTATAAATCCTACTTTCCAGAGATTGGTTTCCTCTAGCTAGGAGGGTTTCACAGCCTCCCAAAACAGTGCCCCCAGTTGGGGACCAGAGAATAACTGGATGTCTTTAGTGGCTTTGTAAAGTTCAGCATGTGGTTTGCTAAGGTGATTCCTCTGGGAAGGACAAGCCTATTTTAACCTTTCCATACTGGCAGATTTGTGTCAGTAAGACCTAGACCCATGCCTGGCTCCAGCAGAGCTGTCTCGGCCTAGCTTTCCCTGGAAGACCCCATAGGGATGAGCCCTTAGGAGACTCAACTTCTAGATGGGGACATCCTGATTGTGACCTTCAGTGGGTTGGAAGGAGAGCCAGTAATAGCTGCCTCTGCCCCTCCTTCTCCTCTTCCTCCTGCTCCTCCTCTTCAAAGTGGAGGATAAAATCCAAAAATCGTCTGGCTAATCTAGGCCTGCAAGCAGGCCTGTTGGACAGTTGGGAAACCTCTCACGTCTCAACCCCCCACTGTGTGGAGTTCCACAGATTTCCTCCAGCTCTATTTAAGTGAGAAGGTTTTGAGTGGAGAATTATTCTGGTTATTAAGACAGGCTAGCAAAGATCTCTGCCAGTCTTTATTTCGCTATGAGACACACTTACACACGAGGGCTCTTTCCAAATAGGAAGGATAAGTAGAGCCAAGCTTCATGACTTGTCTGATTGCCGAATGGCCGGCCACACAAACATTTCCTCACGCCAGCAAACGGTCACAACACAGTACAGAGAGCCGCTGGTCAGTTCCAGTGGCCACCATTAACCACATTAGAGAAAAGAGCCCTGAAGAGTTAGCCCTCCGTGGTTTTAACTCCAAAAGATGTCACAAGAAGAGCCACAAATTATTATTGCTGACAATTTGTACAATTTGTCCCTGGTGAAATGTGTGTGTCCCTACACTGCACCGTTTTACATAACAATATGAAATATTAAAAGCGAAAACCGTTTTGTAATAAACAGCAGTTTTGCTGATTGCGGCTGATTATGTTAAGTAGCTTGTTCTGCGGGTGTCAGAGGAGACTCAATAGCTCCCGTAACTAATCTTCACGACTGACCTCTCCCCTCCGCTGATGAAGTCTATTCAGAAACCTGCTGCCCTTTGCTCATTTGCCAAGCGGATATTTCTGAACTGTTTTGATCATGCATATATTTTCTGAAGTTGTTGTGTATGGGATTTGCGTGTGTGTGTGTGTGTGTATGTGTGTGTGTGTGTGCGCGCGCGCGTGCGCTTTTAAAGACATATAACACGAAGAAAGATCCCTGCCATGTTTGTTTCATGCATTATTAAAAGAAGAAACCCACTGTATAGATGGTAAAAATCATGGGCATTTACAAACTTCTCATCAGGTACCAACAAGTCTTTCCGTATAGCTAGAGACGGCTCTCCTGCCCTCTGTGTGAGGAAATAGGGTGTTGATTTTTTTTCTACCTTGCTCCAACTTTCAAATAAAGGGCATGTCTTTCCAGGGAAGCACGCGCTCCGGCCATTTCATCAGCCTCGATGGCTGGTACTTAGGGGAGAAGAGCTGTTCAATCACGAAGCAATTTCATTTTTCTGATAAAAGTTTTTGATTTAAATGGGATTTCATAGAGAACATTTGAGAGTGTAGAGAAATCTTCCGCCGGTGAGTGCAGCTAAATATGTAAGCGCCCGTGTGGAAGTGCCTGTAATTCCTAGTTTGCTGGTCCTCTTTTTCCCCCCAATCCAGAGATGTTTACAAATCCTACGGGTGGGGGGCTGGTGGAGTATCGCCGCCGAAGGAAAGCAAAGCTTTAAAATGGGCAGGGAGTGAGTCTAGCCCAGATTATGCAAATCTAGCCATTCCGGGCAAATACAATAATAAAGACCGAAGCGGGGTGGGATGGTGGGGGGCGCAACAAAGGAAAAGTGAAGTGCCCAGACCAGGCTTGCTAGAGGGAGGAGGCGGGTCCGGTACAACTAGGTCACAGCTTTCTGTGGCAAAGGCTGGCTGAGGCAGGTTGATAAATATTTCCCGGAGGATCGGATGCGGGTTGCCACCAGCAAAAAAAAAAAAAAAAAAAAAATCCCTAGGGGGCAGTACATAATTAACAATTTGAAGACGTGGCCGCTCGTCATTGTCTCAAAGGGAGCTGGGGAATCCTGTCTCCCAAAGCCTAAATCGCGAGTGCCCATATTAATCTCTCGATAAAGGATCTTGGCCTTTCTCCAGAAGCTGGGAGCCACCTTTACTCTTGGCAAGGGAACGCCGCGGCTACAGTGTCATTTTTCTTTGGTTTTATATATCTGCGCTACCAAACCTGTCCCTCTAGTCTCTGGGAAGCACCTGAAGACCCCACTCCTTAACAAAGACACAGATAAAAATCAAGACTGGGGAGAAGAGAGTCGTTTAGGCAGGGCGCCTGGCTGAGTGTTGAAAGACTTTTAGGGCAGGGGCATTCCTACAAACTGATTCACGAATGAAAACAAAAACCTGAGAGAGATTCACAGGGGTGGAAAAGGAGTCAGAAGCTTAGGTATGGTTTGAAATGCAATTTGGTTTGTTTAAAGACATGTTGGATTTCGGTGTAGGGGACACGGTTACCTACTAGAGGGACGGGAGAGGGCAGGAGCAGAAACGTTACATTTTTAAGCCTAAATCTTGGAATGAGGCTGCCATTTTTTTTTTTTCAACAGAAGTCAGCAATACCTTCCAGCGCATAGATTCAGAACTGCCAATTTTCAGTTTGCTCTTGGCTAAACCTTAGGAGCTGTGTTAACCGCAGCTTCAAGCCACGACGGGATCGGGAAGGAAGACCCTGGCTCCCTCGCTGACAGGGGCAGGGAACCCTGTACTGCCGAGGAGTTTCTTAGCCTCTCTCACGTGTGTCTTAGCTCCACTACCTCGGAGTGACTTCAGATCCCTGCCACCTGCCTACCTAATCAGAATACCGCGAGGGTTAATGAGATTGCGCTCCGAAGTGATTGCTTCATCACACAGCCCGCAGTATTATTATCCCACATAAAGGCACAGCTGCAATATTGTATATTGTTACATACCAGACGCTAGGTGTCTATTTTTAGCGCCTTGGAAATGAGGGCGTCTTAGAATTATACGGGGGAAGGGACCCGGTGATACTCCTCGAACCAGGCTCTGGCCTGAGGCAGGTGGATGCCCTATCCACTCAAAAGGCCCAAGGGTTTCTGCACATCTTCACCTGGAAGACAGGGATTGCTTTGGTGCTGCCTCCAGACGACAGTCCAGTGTCACCAGGGCGTGGGTAAGAGTGACTGCCTAAATCTCTCTCTTTTAGCTTAAATCCACCTTTCTTCTTATATTGAAGATGCGTGTGGGTCTCTACATGGTGGCGGGAAGGGATGGAATTCACATCCTATGAATCCTTGTATCCTTCAGGCCACCTCCTCATGAGGCACAAGCACATGGGGTGGCAATTCAGTCGCTGTAACCTTGTACGAAGAAAACACAGCTCCTAGCACGGTTCCAACCAGCTCGGGGCCTGTAGTCTCGGTCCCTGGAGCCCCAGATGACATCAGTCCATGAGTCCTGCAGTATAGGATATCATTATTCAGAAAGTCACCCTCCTACCTTCTTCTCCACAGGCACCTTAAAAACCTCTGGTATTGGGATGGGGTCTGAACGTTCAGACTCTCCCCAACTTCATACATAGAATGGTAAGATACAGTCGGGGGCTTTGAGAAGTAATCGGACCACGAAAGTGAAGCCCACAAGTGAACTGGAAAGAACCTGTTTGCTCCTTGTCTATCTCCTGGCAGCTCCCAGAACTCCTAAAGTCCGTGGAATCTTCGATGTGAGGGTCCTCACTGTGCTAATGAATGGCCCAGAAGTATGGCAGGACCAAGGTTTGACATATTAAAGAAGACAGTTGGCGGAGAGACTGGAAGCCCTTTCCCACCTGGGCTTCATAGTACAAATGGAGCATGCTCAAGAAAAGCCCAGGATCTACAAATATGGAGGGGGTGGGTCTATGTAATGTCCTGTAAGAGGTCATGAGCTCAGGTCCAGCACTTTGGGGCTTCTCCCTCCACTCACCACCCCTCTCCCGTTTGGGGGCACACTTTCCCTTTCTTCAGCGGTTTCTGTTTCCAGTTACACTGTCGCTTTTCCATTTTTAATTATGTGTTTCTGTTCAGTTCTTTGCCATGAAATTCAAGAACCTGGATATTTAATCAGGTCCCCGGGAACTCAGAGGAATACCAGCTCGCTCGAGCACGTGGCTCTGGCAGGCCTTACCTATCTTCCCTATTCTCTCCGCTGTGCTGAAAACCATTAGATTACATTCCGGAAGCTAGCCGCCAAGGTCTGTTCCCTTCCTCCTCCGGAGGCTGACTACCAAGGTCCAGCTATGGAGGTATTGAAGTCCAGCAATCGGAAGCTCCTTCTGGCTCATCTAATTAACATGCCCAATTAAAATTAAACATCTCATCCTTTACCTTTATAAACCGCCATTTGCCTATGCGCCACGTCTGACCCCTCTATCCAGAGGCAGTCCTTTGTCCCTCTGGGACAAATACCGCTGCCCACCTTCCCCTGTCCCCCTCCCCTCTTCCTCGCCCCCATCCCCTATCTCCTTTACCACTGCATCCTAGCCCATTCTAACACAGCCCTCCCCTCTTCCTCTAAACAATGACACCTGCAAGGTCATTTGCTGCTCTTGCCTGCCTGAGTCAGAGAGCAGCCCCTTTAACTTTTCTTCTCCACTTAATAAAGGGCCTCTCTGTGAAAACAAGTGTTTGGGTGTGGTTCGTGCCTAGGAGGGAGGCCACTATATGGGGTGGGATCAGGGGGGTGGAGGGACGGGGGTGTTTCAAAGTCCTCCCTATAACAAAATCTAATCCCACGTATCCCTGTCTCCAGGTCCAGGGGCTAGTGGAGAAACTGACCTCTAATGGTAGGAATTTAATAACCCCTGCATTTGTAATGAAGCTTTTCTGAAACCCCTAAATGTTGACAACTTACCCTAATGGGGTGTGGTGAGGGTGGGCTTCAGGGGGTTGGAGTTCCTGTAGAGGACTCTAAAATTCTCTGCCCTTCCCTCACAGCTCACTTGTGCGTGTCTTTATTTGTGTTCTCTATAATAAACCAGTAAAAAATTAAGTGTTCACCTGAATTCTGTGAGCCCCCCAAGGAGGGGGTTTGGGAACTCTGATTTAAAACCACTCACAAGTACACATAGAATAACCTAGGCCTTGCAATTGGTTTTCAAAGCATGGAATGAGGGAGGGGAAAGTCTTAGGGGCTGAGCCTTCAGCCGGTGGAGTCTGACACTACCTCAAAAGACAGCGTCAGATGAGAACTGGATTACAGAACATCTATCTATTGTCCATAGCTGCAGAACTAATTGCTTCCTTGCATGAGAGGAACTCCCCATCACCTGGTGTCAGAAGTGCTGTGTGTTGTGGACTCCAGTAGGAGGAACCGAGTTTGAGTTGATTTTTTTCCTTCTATGTCAACATGCCACTTGAATGGAATTAGTGAGTTGTTGTCGGATGTTTTTGTTCTTACTCTCTTGTCTTTTTTTTGGGGGGGACCACCAACCAGCTCTCAAATAAAGCACACATGGAGCCTTATTTTTAGGTATGAATGCCCAGCCTTAGCTTGGCTTGTTTCTTGCCAGCTTTTCTTAAATTATCCCATTCATCTTCCGCCTCGGGGCTTTTATCTTTCTCTATTCCTGGCTACCTTTTCTTTCCTTCTTACTCCGTGTCTGACTGTGTCGCTGGTTGGCTGGGTGACTGGCTCCTGAAGTCCGCCTTCTTCCTTTCTCGTTCCCTGATCCTTAGATCCTCACCTTCCAGTTTTCCCTTCATGTTTATCCTCTCTGCCTGCCAGCCCTACCTATTCCTGTCTTCTGCCTTGCTATTGACCAGTCAGCTTTTTATTAGACCATTAGGTGTTTTAGGCAGGCACAGTAACACAACTTCACAGAGTTAAACAACTGCAACATAAACGAAAGTAACACTTCTTAAAATAATATTTTTAGAAGGACAGTGAGTGTCCTTCTAAAAAGACACAAGGCAATATACTTCCTCCATCCAAGCCTACAATAAGCTATTTCTGTTCTTTTCTTTTTCTCAATGGACCCTGTAAAATAATTACCTTGTCATTGTTTCTTTCAAGGCCTCAGAATTGTGGTAATAATATCATTGGCTTGTATTTGTGCTCAATGTGTTTTGTACAACAAAAACATGAGTCATGAGTGGGTGGGTTTGGCCATTGTCAATAGTTATTATGAAACAACTTCCCCTGAACTTGAATGGTGGCTCATTAAGACTCAGAAAGGAAGTACAAGTCACAAGGTTAAGAAGCAACAATCCACAAGTCTCAGGAACTTCCTGAAATTTACAAGGTCTACAAAACCCCTTCCCAAGATCGTATAAACAGTGAGGACCAGTGGCTAGAGACTTTCAGTGGCTTGTGCACTAATTTTAGTTTCTTGAAAGTCATGTGTAGAACTCTGAGGATGCAGTTTTTGTGTTATTGCCAGTTTCCTGAAAGTCATATAGAAAACCTCAGGGATGTAGTCTTTATGCAATTATTCAAACTCAAGTAGGTTTTTTGGTGATACAGCTGCCTTGGATATATGTCCCTGGAAGTAATCCCAATAAATGTAATGTTTTGCTAAGCTAGACTTGGGTGAAATGATTCCTTTGGTGCCTTATCTGGAGTAAATAGATTTTTATTCATGTCTTCCCAGGAAGGGAAATCACATAACTGTAGCTCACCTGAGTTCACAGTGATGGTCTGTCGAAGAATGGAAATGGAAACTCAGAATCTGCCTTCCAATAAGATGTAAACTTTCAGTTGATAGTTCGTAGGTCACAAGGCTCCTGATCTCACAAGTCTTCCATGGACCTTACAGTGCATTGGTAGGTAGCGCTTATAAGCTAAGCTACCGTATTTGCTTCCAGAGTCCGCCTGTGCCCACCTGGGCTTAGGCTTAAAGCCTTGAAGATGTTTCATCTTACCAGGCATCACACCCTGGCCTTCTCAGTTAGCTCCCAAGTCAGAGGAGAAAGGAGGAGTATCCTCTGCTGGAGGGCGGGGGAGCTGGAGATCCATCTTAAAAAAAAATGTTGGAGAGCAGTGAGGAGTCCACTCTCAGCTTATAGTCTCTTAGCTTTCTTAACGATTGTGATGAGGGGAGGGGGGGTTGTCCCCAGAGACCTTTCTTTGTTCACATATTTCCTGTACTTGCATTCCCATAGTGCAATAGGGAGTTATGTCCCTAGTATACTGTGTCAGAAACACAGATGAACACGTGTGTGTCTTTCTGCAATATCAGAACTTATTGAACAATAATTCCATATGATAGGGATGTTTCCACGGCAGCAATTAGCCAAACATTCCCACTTTCTTTGGCAATCCTGGCCTAGGCAAACATGGGTTCTTTTATCCCAATCTGAATTGTTAATAATGATCAGATCACATATTATATAGTAAACTGTCTACAACAATAAATTATCTATCATAGTAGACTATTTGTCTGTCTATCCATCCATCTTGCAGTATCAGTTCACCTGGACAAATTTATAGGGTGATATACGTATTTCAGTCATTTCTCAGCCCGTGCCATGTGGGAACCCTTGGACAGTGGTGTCCACGTGCCCATCAGGTGTGAAATCATCTTCCTCCTCAAAACAGAGTCAAAAACTGTTTGGAAAGTGGATTTCCTGAGGACAAATCACAGTCCAAAGCACTGCTGTTAACACAACATGGAGTAACTTAGGGCAGGGCACAGTCCGATCTCCACGACAATACTGCTTGTCATTTCCTTCCATTGCACAGCTGCTGTGTTTAAAGAGTTTCACCTGGGATGGCTCAGTGTGACCCAGAGTCCTTCTTTCTTCAGTCAAGGGAATGCACTCTTCACTGCCAGCAGGGTACAGCCAAAGTCAGGGAGAGATGCGCATCCCTGCTACTGCCTGCAGGGGCCCAGGAGAGCTTGCAGCACAGAAATGAGGGCTGCAGGTGGGGAAAGAGGACAAATTAGAAACACCCTTGCTCTCGGGCTGGGCTGCGCCTCAGTTATAGTGTGTTTGTCTCTGGGTTCAGTCCTCGTGGCCCCAGAAAAGAAAGAAATACCACCAGTATTTAGAACCCTTTCTTCTTGGGAAAACAACCTCCTTCTGGCCCAGACCATCACACTATCTGTGCGTCAGAGAAAACTGTTCTCCTTCCTCTCCCTCTTTTCGTCCAGTGCTCAGTTTCTCCCAAGGTCTACAGCTTCTGGTGTCATAGCGCTAGGGGGCCACACACTCCCACACTTGAGAACCCTTCCCAAAGCTGCTCCGTCCACCTTTGGCACCAGTGGCAAAGGGACACAGAGAGGGTTGATCATCGCTGGACCCCATTAATGGCGTCAGTTTTGCATGCTGTGCATAACAATGGAAGCTTAAAATAAGTACAGTCTGTGTGCTCAGACCCAGGCTCAGTGCTGGTGCTAACTGTGGATACGCCATCTAGCTGCTGTTATGGGCATTGCTCCCTCAAGTGAAAAAACTAAAGACTGAAGCTCAGAGAGGTTAAGCAGCTTCCCAAGGATCCACAGCAGATTGGCGGTTGGGAGATGATTCACAACCTACTAAAGATGCTGTGGTCCCTGGCAGAAGCCCATGTTGCTCAAGGATGACCTGGGGGGGGGGGGCAGCCTTTGGTAAACATGGCTGGGTGTTTGTCTAGAATAGCAGCGGCTCCAGAACAGTGGTTCTAGACACTCAGTAGCTTTAAGGTCCGCCCCCCCTCCCCCACCCCCAAGTGAGCCTTGAAGTACTTCTGACCACATCCCAGGATTTTCCAGGCCACAGACTGCTTCTAAAATCCAGCATGTATTCGAGGCTTCTGGGCCACATTCAGCTCAGCAACGTTCATCACCGGGTTCTCTGCCATCACCTTCAGTCAGGCAAGGTAGAGCTGAGACTGTCTATAGCCTGGGGTAGGAGGGATGGCACGGAGCTTCTCCGTAGTCACCTTGCTTTTCTTCGTTCTCAGCTTCTATCTAGCTGGAATGGTCTCTTGGGATCCTGTTGCTCACTGCCCTACACTGCTTCCAGTATCACTGGTAACTGGGATCCAGCAGAATGGTATCTCGGGGATCCTGTTACCCACCACCCTAGGCTTCTTAATGAGATTGATCTGAGGACAATCTGGCTAGGATTGAAGCCATTTGCAATCATAGGGGCAGGTAAATCTTACTCCAGTGTCAACGTCCCGTCTTGCCAGCACATTCCCAGCCGCCTCAGTGTAGTCTGCGTTCCCATGCGTCGGAGTGTGTTCTGAAAGTCCCGTCTCGCAGACGGCGGGAATGAGAATGTGACAGCCATCAATTTTAGACAAAACCAGACAGCGTGAGCCTCTCTGAGCCCCTCATTTCCTTCTGAGAATTGAACGAGCAGTCTTCTCGTGCTCGGGCTTTATCCACCATTCCTTCCTGGAGTGACTGGTGAGCAGGACCAGGAAGAGCTGAGGTCTATCGCTGTGGGACCCAAAGGAAGCCAGAGTTTCAACCAGATGACACATCACTGCAACAGCATCTGCTGCTTAGCAACCAGGACCCCTGGGGGTCCTAAGGGAGATTCTTGGTGTAAGGACCATCAGGGGGATGTGGTGAGACACAAATGAGCAAGAGCCCCCATGCTACTGTTTGCTCATTTTCTTGCCATGTCC